TATTTTTAATTTAAATCACACTACTTAAAATAAATATTCAAAATAAATAAGATTAATGTTAATTTAGTTGTCTTGTTTATTTATGGACATATAGTTGATTTAGTATAGCAAATATTGATATATTTAGTTTTTAGTACAACATGAAAATGAAACTTACAATTTTACTACAAAATCTTTAATTTTGTTAATCTTTGTTTTGAACTTCGTAATGATGAATGTGGTTGAACACATGCTTTATGTTTAATGTGTTTAGTAAAAGAAAGATTAATTAACCTTAACATGCAATTATCCTTGAAAGGAGCCTTCTAATTTTCTTTTATAAATTTAAAATCTTTACTGGTTTATTCAATGTGAAATGCATATTAACATTAAAAGTAACCATCACTTAAGACCATGCACGTGCTTAATTAAACGTTAAGCAAGTTAAAAGGAAAACTAGTATAATTAAAGTTGTTGTACTAAGATTTGTTTTCTTATTCTAATAAAAATAAAATATGTTAATATTTATTGTACTAAATTGACTATTTTATTTATTTATATTAGTATTGTTGCTGTTAATATAAAATATTTTTAATATTTATTTGAATTAGTGTGAGATAAACTGACATTAATTTATTAATTTATATGATATGAATTTGATCATTTTTATGATAATTTGTACTAATTGTAGATTATTATTGATTTAAAGGCCAATATTTAAAGGTGACAAATATTTTCATTACATTTTTTTTAGTTCTCTGTATAAATCTCCACTCACTTTCTTTGTCTATACATATCTCTTAGTAAGTACACATTTTTTTTATTCACACTCAATTCATTTATCCAAAAAATTTTCTCTTTTCTTTTATTATTTTTTGTCTACTTTTTTTGTTGGAAAGTGTTGTATGAAAAAAATGATTTTTTAAATTATTGTCATTACTCTCGGTCACATTGACATAAATTAAATAAATTTTAAAATAAATTTCATTAGTTATATCTTGACGGATATTAAATTACTTTATAATGAATTAACATAGACTTAACAAATTAATTCTATTAAATTAGTTGTCATAGTTTTAAACTAATTAGTTTTTTTATAAGCAAATAATTAATTAATTAATATAGTAGAATACTTGTGGGGTATTCCAATCCTTTTAAAGAAATATGATAATCTTATACATAAGGGATGCAAGAAGGCTAACATTAAATATCTAAATAATTGTCCATCCTGAATACAAAATAATAATTGAAAAGGGAGTAACGTCGTAATCTCCAAAGAAATTATAATCCATTATCCACTCCAGTACGATACAAAACCACGTACATTTTCAAAGTGACAATAGTATGCTTTTTATAATCAATTTTTGACATACTTTAAACTTTTATTTTCTTGCAGTGAATATTTTATATTTCACCTTTAATAAAATTATAAAAAAAGTATACCTTTGTATCATCCACATTTTTAAGTGTATATGTATATTTTTGGTTTCAAAGTGAAAGGGAATGAAAAATTGGTAAAAAATAAGACAATGTTTTGTGATTCGGAGGAGAGAATACAAGAGACACATAAAATTTTCCTATTCTCCTATCGTATAAAAGTGAAAGAAAAAATGTATATAATACTACGTAAATATTCTAAATTAAAAAGAAAGGTAATATATAAATATGAGTACTTTTGTCTTTTTATGTAAAAGAAAGTTTCTTGCTCACTTTTTTTTTCTGTCTAATCGTGTAGGACTGATAACGAATTTAATCATGTCAAGCTAAAGTGAAGCCAACTTAATAAGAATCGATGTGGTTGGATCTCTGCTAGGGTTTAATATCAACCTACCTATTCTTTTCTATCTCGACTCATTTCAATTTATGAATTCCAAAATAAAACTTATCTTAGCTCATTAGCTCGATTTGATTTAAAATTAGAATAATTACTTATTTATTTGTATTGTACATAAACAAAATAATATTAAGCTAATTAAAAAGTTAAACTTATGTATTTTCATATATATATATATATATATATATATATATATATATATATATTTCATAAAAGTTAATGATTGATAACGAAAAAAGAGAGTTAAAAGTTAAATATTTAATACTTATTATATCTTAAAAAGGTATTCAGCGTAGCTCTCGAAAACAAAAATAGGTTGAGACAATGTCTCTAACTAGTGTTGTCAAAATGGGTTGTAACCTGCGAGCCAACTTGGCTTACCACGGGTTTGAGTTGGGTTGGGTTTGAAAAAAATTTAATTTTTTTATGTGGGCTAGTTTTCAACCCGACTCACTTAGAACCCGACTCACTTAGAACCCGGCTCACCGGGTTGAACCCGTGGTGAGCCGGGTTGGCTTACCAACCCACCTAATTTAATTTAATTATTTATTATTTTTTGTTTCAATATTATTGGTTAGATTCTTTTTATTATATTTTAGATGGTGATAAAGAAGATGTTTCAAGAGAGAGAAATATTATAGATTTATTTATTCAAGACTCTAATATTATAAATGGACAAGTGATACAAAAATTATCAATATTAAAAACTTATTTGTTCGCCTTTTGTACATGTTTTTGGATTACGCTTGGATGATATGATACTTCTTTTCATTTATTTTGAATTGTCTTTGGAGTTTAACATCATTTTAGGGTGACATTTATTTAGATTTGAATTAAAAAAATTGTAATTTGTTTATTTTAAAAAAGACTTATAATTAAATGAGACAGTGAGCCAATCCGTTT